GGTTGTTGTTGACGTTGTTGTTGAAGTTGTGCTTGTTGTTGTTGTTGAGGATGTTGTTGAAGTGGTTGTTGATGAAGTTGTTGTTGTAGTTGTACTTGTTGTGGTTGTGGTTGTGCTTGTTGTTGTTGTTGATGATGATGTTGTTGTTGATGTTGGTGATGTTGTGGTAGACGTTGTTGCAGTTAAGGATGATACCGATGCCGATGTTGTTGTTGTTATAATTGATGATGATGTGGATAACAATGATATTGTTGATGCTGTCGTAGTCGGTTCTAGTTTACGAAAATGACATCAGTATGAGACTAAAGAACTTGATAAAGTTTTGCTTATAATCTAATACTTGTTCCTTTCCTAACAACATATATACGATGTGGATATGGATGTCGAAGGAGTGATCAAAAACCGCCCCTACACCCATGCTCATAGCTTTCAAATACAGCATATATTTTTCGTTTATTAAAATTTAATAAAAATTGGAAAAGCAGGATAAGTTGTTATTTGCAATGTCTACTAGTACCACTGAGAATGATTTATACTAAACTCATTGTTTCCACCAATTACATTCTTACATTGATTATTGTACTTGATATACTACTAAAAGTACTTGCGTAATCTAACCCAGGCTAGAAACAGAGCGTAAAAACAATCGTCGACGCGGTTATTCGCTATTCAATTAAACATTTTTTTGATCCATTCATGGTCTTTTATTAATTCAGAAAATGACGAAGAGTTTACTGCAGAATTAAGAAAAGAAAAAAAAGAAAACGTTGTTTCAATATCCATTATTTATTATAAGTAACGAATGAACAAAAAAAAGTTTTGCTTTCTTCCTTTTCTTACCTTTGAGTGGTGCTCTCTTTAATTTATTACTTCTATAGCAACTGGTATGAATGTATGCATTAGTTTTCTGTTTTATTGTTTATAGTTGATATTCCCGATCAACGAGTTATTTATGAATAGAGCTTAGTAAAAGACGAAAGCATTTTTTCTAAATCTACTATATTCATACAAACCAGGTGGAGATCGTGTTTCAGCAATAACAATCATAGTAGTAATGTCGATATCACTCGCCATATGTGCAATTTCATTCGACATATCAGTAAATAATTCACAGTTAGAAGTTGATTGATGAAAACTGGCTGCTCTACAATAAATTTGAGCTAAACAAGCCATTTGACACTTCATAATAATCGATGTAATGACATTTGCGAACGGTAAACATGTTGTATTAACACATTGAAATTTCGAACCAGTGATTAAAGACATTATAACTGATCGTGTATCTTCTCCGACTGATTGTGTAATAATTACAAATATAATCCATAGACAAATTCTTCTTGAAGCCATTACCAACTAAATTGCAAGTTAATGAAATCAATTTAACTGAGAATAAAAGAAAAAGAAACTATTGAGCGATAAACACTATTTTTTTTCTTCTTTTTCTCTCTCTTTTTCTTATTTTATTTCATCCATCTAATGGAAAAAATAGTTATGACTTTTATTTAATTTTGTAAAAACAAATCTATTTTGAAAGACGATTTTTCTTTGTTTATACGTCACTTAGAAACAAACATATTGACACATAGAACATATATGTTCTGTGGAAAATACATATAGATGAAAAGCGTATGAAACGCTCGACTTAATAAAATTGGATTTGAAAAGATAATAATCAGTATTTAGTCGCAAACGAAATTTTTTTATAAAAATAAAAATATTATAATTCATTATATTCATATATAAATTAGATATTTATACAAATTTATTTCACAGATTATACAAAATATCAATCAATTCTCACACAATTTATATAGGAACAAAGAAAACTGAGTAGTCCTATAAACTCAAACTCACTGGATTTGAATTTTTTAATTGATACTAACACACAGTATGAAAACATTTTCACAATTTCTCTTTTGTTATTTTGTAGTATCATTTTTATTCTTCAACTTTTGAGTGAAAAAAGTATATTATAATCTGTGATTCAATAGATAATCGCATGTTTCTTCATCAATGTAAAGATCATTCAAACACTTGGGATCCATGTGTATGTATGGTGTTATTATTAATAAAAGTCAAAACATCGTATTTATTAGATAAACAAAAACAAACAATTTTTTTCAGTATTCTAACATCACTTTAATAATTGTTTATCATAACAACACATTTTAAACTTTTTTTTCTCGAGGAAATATATGTATCCACTAAAAGTTTGCTTTTCTTTTCTTTTTCTCCGTTTATATGCTGCTATGATATATAATGTATGTAGTAGAAGACGAAGTTAGTTGAACAATCTTTTTGATTATTTTTTAAAAGAAACGATAGAAACAGGCAACCTGAGGAAAGATCTAGGTTTGATATAATTACAATAAGAAAAAGTGTATTACTTTAAAAAAAAGTACATGATTGTTGAGTAAAACAATGATGATAATATATGCAAGCTTTTTGTAGATGGAAAACGACATATCCATAATTACATTAGAAAAATTACTAAATAAAGTTGATGACGTTTTTACTTCCTTCCAATATTTGAATGATTCATATATAACTGCTAAACAGATGGTTTTTTTCAACGTGTAAATATTTATTTAACTTCTTTTAGATTTAAATGACAGTGGAGTGTCACCTGAAGAGTATGTTACATATTAAAATAATGATTCTGATATTAGTTGATAAGGGTGCGGGTGTGGGTGTGGGTGCAAATATTTGTCTTCTTCTCATTCATTATCGACGTTGCATCGCCACTCACATTCAGGCCCAGACCCGCATCCGCATTCACATCCACACCCATCCTGAAGATAAGTAGAAACGACTTATCCGTTTTTCGTTTGCTAATACGTCAATGCAACAAAACCTATTGTAACATTTTCTCGTATATACATCGCACGTTTGTATTTGACTGTTCTCAGTTAATCTCTTATGTTGTTATTTTTTTTATCAAAACATATCTTTACATGCACACATAATCTTACACAGGTGTGTTTCTTCTGTTTTGTGTATGCTTACTGCTTCTCTAATAGCGATCGGCGTTTGAGATTTATTCTGTTCTGTCTGATGCACACACTTTCACACACTAATATAAACGATTTTTTGAAGAAATTTCATCTATTACTTTTTCTTCTTTCATGTGCGAAGTGAATTACCTTTACAATTCAAAAACGTGCAGCCACCGAAATTACTGATAATTGTTGTTAAAGAAGAAAAGTAAAAAGAACGTCAAATTTATACAATCAATCAGCAGAAGGTGGTAGTTAATCTGGTAACACTAAGAGTCCTAAATACAGCTAAGAAAGGGAACTAATTGAAGAAGACGACTTTTGGAAATACAGAAGCAGGTAAATAAACGAAAGAGAAAAAATAAGGTTTTTTATTTTGAAGACGGGTATTTTTTGGTAGTGTCATATGAATTTATTACTGACACCCACCGACGCCCACACCCCGGACCTTCAATGCTTGCCCAATAGAATTGGAATCCAAAAAATAACATTCAATAAAAGGCAGATAATTTAATATATAATCTGATGGACCTTTAGATTTGAGCAGCAGTCACGATCTACCTACAGAACATAATGACAGTAAGCAAAAGACATGTATACTCTCGTTCTTGTATGACAAGTGTCTGCTTCAAATTCACAGGAAACAACAAAATTTTGATGGAACTCTATTTCATGTAGCAGAATCTCAATGAGAACCACACACTGCGTAGACATTGCTTTATCGTGCGAGTAAAACATAGCAGAATTATGCTGATAATTGGAAAATTCATAATCAAGTCGAGTACATATCCTCAATTAATTAAAAATCAGCTGAGAATTTTAAAATCCCGGAAAAAATTGATATACTTTTGTTAACTCCGATAGTATTCGAAAACGACCCAAAACTTCGAAATTTCATTCATGAGGGAAGGTCCAAGGTCTCACTCTAAACTTCAAGACTGATTTCTAAACGTATTTTTGAAAAAATGAGTATGAGCGGTTAAGTCGTTAATGAGTTTTCCGATACTGAGAAGTAAATGACAAAATTGTCATCTGTTATAATTTGTGTGTTTGCAAGAGTTGTAACATTATTCTACGGTTCAGATTTTCATGTATTTTTGTTACAACCTCAATTCTTTGCAAGTCGATCCCCTAATTTTTTTTCACTTTGGCGACTTTAATATGTATCATATATCATGGTAAGTGCTCAGATACTATACTATAAATATAAGCAGTACTATCTAATCGGATTTTCTTTATTCAGTCAGCAAAAAGAATAATTAGTACCATGCAGCGTCGATCACCTGAAAGACTGCCTATCGCACTTTATTCTGCATGCAAACAATGTGATATAATCCTTGTACGTCGCTATTTGGTATCAATGAGCATTGAAGATATCAACTATCAGATGCCTTCTAATGGTAATACTGCTTTGCATGAAGCTACTTCTAGTGGTAACACTGAAATCATAAAGCTTTTATTGGAATCGTATGCTGCACGTTCAATTAAAAACGCTGATGGCCAGATAGCATATGATTTAGCAAAGACAGAAGAAATTCGGGAGCTTTTCCAACGTCCTCAATCACATTCACGATTTATATCAACTCGGAATAGTTTCATATCGACATTGTCAAGTAAACTCGATATGAACTGTAAAAGTTGTTCTCTCGTCGATGATCAGTCCACTTACGAATGGGAACTCACCGAACCGAATGCTTCGCAAAAAGCTTTTCTGTTTCGCAGTAAGTTAAAACCATCTACAACGGAACGATTAGTCACAAATAGAATCTATCCCATAATCAACGGTTACTTGAGAGAACGAATTGCTCATTTACCATCAGACACAATAAAATATATACTGGATTTATTCAAAACAGCAGGTAAAGAAGACAACCCATTTCATATAGTACGGGCATATTCAACTTTTCAAAGTTTTTCGAGCATTCTCAACTCTGATATGGCTCGAAATGTAATTCATGATATAAGAAACGGTTGTAGCAAGTTCTGTTGCGACCACCTTTATTCAACCGAGGACGGAACGAAATCTATCGCCACTATTCTTCTATATCATCCACAATTTCAAACTCTAAACTTTGTTGGCACGGTATATCGAGGAATATTCATTAAACAATCAATCTTTTCTCATTATGTAGAAGGATCGTGCATTACCACAACAACATTCGTCTCTACTTCAAAAGATCGTTCTGTGGCAGAAGATTTCAATGGACAAGGTGATTCATTATCAGAAACAGATAATATTTCCGTCTTATGCACATACATAATAAAAGCTGAAAATCGTACAGCTCTTTATATTGCCGAATATTCAAAGTATCGACAAGAGAAGGAAGTGTTAATCTTACCTTATTCACAATTTCGAATTACAAAAAGAAGAATAGTAATGATAAACAACCAACATCCGCTAACTGAAATATATCTCGAACAGTGTGATGCACCGGCATCATCTGTTGAGGAAGAGCAGCGCTAGTATCAAAATTTTACTCTCCTTGGAACATTGATTACTCAGCGGAGATTCAAATAATTGTTGTTAAAGGAAACAATAAATGATAGAAAAATTCTTGAGGGTGTGGGTGTCGGTGTGAGTGTGTGTTAGTACCAGCACGAGATACTCAGACCCACATCCACACCGCAGTTAAAAGTATGGAGATTCAACTTATTGTTTAGGAGCAACTCAACTCATATAGAAAGCTCGTAATCTAAAAAGTTGAGATTGGAGATGTGGGTGCGATCTATGCAGACGGTAATACTCACATTCACCCTCTATTGTTAGTACTAAATAATAAATACGACTGTTTATAAAAGTGCATTTTCTTGTTCAACTTCATTTCTATGTATTCGATAGTTTTGACGAAACCATACATGAAATTTGCTTTTAAGTTTTATGTAACATTTTCCAACAATCGATGACGTTCGACAATGGATCATATAGACTTTTGATGGCCAAATGTTAACCGGAAATGAAAATAATATCGGGACAAGAGCCAAATATGAACAGAATAATAATATATGTTGTTCTGAAAA